TAAGCTGACGCGTACGCTTACCATATTTGTAAATTATGGTATATTGGCTCATATACCATAATGGCTAAGCCAATAAATAGTCTTGAATTGCATTATCGAATGATCGAGTTTTTAATAATAATTATTAGCCGTACAATGGCAAAAAAATTAACTCGTCAGAGAGCAAGTAGGATACATGCTTACTTCCAACTTTGAAATTGTTAAAAAGATGTTAATCAACGAAGTAAGTTTAAAATGTTAAGGATTAGAGCGTTAGGGCCTTATTGGCTGCTTCAGCAATGCTGTATTCCAAAAAAATGAAACACTTATTCAATACTTTTTGGCAAACAATGCAAGTAGTGCCTGGATGCTACAGTTGTTAATGAATTGTTTCTTTACAGTGGTAATCTTTCACCTGTTTCTTCGTCCTTCGAAATCTGTTGAATAAAAATGTATAATGAGTATACTAGAAAGTCTTTGAAAGTATTTGTAGATAACATTAGAAGGGAAAAAATAAAATTGATCAAGGAATCGATAAAAGAAGTATTAGACCAACAGAAGCAGCCTTCCACCACTCCTTTCCCTCCACTGACCAGTTCTTAAAATGGACAAACACGAACAGTCATTAAACATAAATAAGTTTATGAAAAATACTAAGTTACCGTTTATATCGCTACAATCAGGCACGCCAGCTGTTCGGGAATCAGGTAACTCTATGCCAGACTCGTCTACGCACCAACACTCGCCTAATTTAAGATGACACTGCAAAGGCTCAAAATCTCCGTTGTCTTTACAGCGAGGAATGAAATCATTGGAGCTCGCGGTGTTTATCTCGCGTTGCAACTCACAGTAAGTTAAACTCCGGCCTAAAAGTAGTGACAGAAATGTGTATGATAAGGTCATAACTTTTTCTTTTTCTTTTTCATTTTTTGTTGGTTTTTAATGCCGAGGACACGATAGTAAATCAAATAATAAAGGTGCAAAATAACAGCTGAAACCGAAACAAAAGTGAATCAATAGTCCTGTCCTTTTTAACTTTGGAATTTTTTTTTTCTGGCAGTTTATATCAGAAGTGATCTGAATTCGTCATGTCACTAAGTTAGTTCTGTCAAATTTTACGTACCATGGCAACCTGCTTGACACTCATCATAACTGGTAAATCTGTTGGCATTGCCCTCGCACCCTCCATAAATAAACACTGCGCATACTCCGGCAGTGTTGTTGAAGAACCAAGCCGGTTCAAACACCTCACATTTCCCTCTGTCTGGGAGTAGCTGGCAGTTCGTCTCAGCATCTAAAATGAAAGACATTTTACGACATCAAATAATAGGTCTGGCGGGAGGTGCACGCATTCTGAGTAAATTTGCGAGACTACTAAATTATTTAATTTGGCGACTTTGTACGCCCAAAGATAAAACAGCTCTGGCCTGACTCACACTAACAAATTCGTTACTTATAGGTATCAAATTTACCTTTAGGTTCGCAATTTGGATCTCCAACTTTTCTGGTTTCCGGCTTCTCGTTTCCTTCCTCATCAACACACCAGCACTCGCCGGTTACTGAATTGCACTGGGTTGTTTTAAAAGATCCATCCCTTTCACAGAGTGGCACAGGCCTACCACGCTCATTTATGTCCGAGACGTGGTTGTAGCGGCTTTGGCACAAGGTCAGTCTATGATCTATGGAGACTAGAAAAGATGTAGGGTAGTTCAAGAAGTCAATTTCATGCTCATATCTCGAACACATGCTAACAACATTTAATGTTTCATTAACAGCACTTGCAGGAAAACGCGGGTAAAGATATCAAAAGGTTGCGATCGCGATGACAGGAGACCATTTAAAATGAGTTCAAATAATGCATTCAAGGAAATTAGGATTTTCCCCAGATAAGCCAGTTTAAATGTTAAACCCGTACAAGTAATCCTCCCCAGACCCCCCGGAAACTGACAGAGTTACCCGCAGCCTGATTTTCATGAACAAGGCAACTTTGCGAGAAATAGGATCTTACAAAACAGAGGGTTCTAATTTTTTTAATACAGCCGGTTTTAGGGTGGTCAAGGATGCTATTATAATGCTATTATAAAAAATTAGAAAGACTATCAAAGAAACCGTTCACTAATAAGACTCAAATTTTATTATTAAAAATAAGCACATGATCCTATCAGAAAATGTTACCTTTTTTAACAGGACTCACCTGAACAATTAGGCCGTCCTCTAACTCGTGTCTCAGTTAATTCGTTCCCAAAATCATCCACACACCAACAAAATCCAGTAGAGACATGGCATTGAAGAGCTCGATAGCGACCGTCATCTAAACATTGTGGTACAAATAACCCCAGAGGAGTTTCTGGGAAGGATGCCAGTATCTCATTGTACTTCTTCTTACACAATTTTCCTTTTCCTTGAGTGAGTGAGTAAAACGAGGATAAAGAAAAGCAGGTTTTAAGTCATCCAAATGTGCATTGTGTGTAGTGCGTCTAATGGGTTACACAATTTGGTATCTAGCAATTTCCTGCCAGC